TTATGATCAAAACAAGGATTACTATGCTTTAAAGAGAACCTATAGTCCTGAAAATAACATTTGTTATTTTGAGACCATAGTTACCCTCTTGTCCAACCCCCTTTTCTTTTAAAAAAGTAAGTACAATAAAGACTACTTACCTTTTCAGTGCAAAGACTCTTCTGCTGCATCCACCCGCTCTACCTTCGAGGACGTCAGCACACTTGCTGACATCTTTGCAAATTTCCTCCAATCCATTGCAACTCAGATATATAATAATTCTTGTTTAAGGCATAGAAAGTAATGTCATTTCAATTACTGCTCTTTAATTAGTAAAAAAAAAAAAAAGTTTAACTGTTTGGATATGGCTAATTAAATGTCATTTGAAAATGGGTTGATTCAAGGTTGTTCACCAGACTCAAAATTTTGTTGAATTAAGACCTCAATTTTTTTTTTTTTAATTGACTTTTAACTTTTAAAATGTTATTTTTCAATATATTAAAATATTAAAATATATATATAATATATAAACATCAAAACATTAAAATATTTAGCAAAATAGTAAATCATTTTAAAAATGTGTCCAAAAATATTACATTGAGGCCTAAATCTGAATAGCAATACTTAGGCTAAGATAACCAAACTGTGGCTATCGTTGAGTGGATATTTTTTCCCAAATAAGCTGTTGTAGCCTACATTTTGCTATTTGGATTCAGAGTTTAGTGTTTAATCCTGATAATTCTAAGAATTTGCAGCGATATTTCTACACCCCTGTCAAGACTGACAGATTTACTAATTGTAGAACTGTTAAATGTGCTGTTCTTTGTAGCCATATATTTTATTTCTTCAATAATCAGAATGCTGTTAGGTTTTTTTTTTACATTTGTGGACAACACACATTTCGCTTGCTAATTCAGTAGTTTACTTTGTTAGTTATTTAATTGCCACATAACTGATGTACACACATTGTTTCCAAGTTCCACTGACATCGTTGGCAATTAAATCGACTGGTTCCCTTGACACTATGTGTCAGTGCTGATTGTAAATTTCACCGTTAGCAACTGACAAACCTGAAAGTAGAGCTTCCAACACTATGTGCGAGACTGTACTCTCCCCTATGCGGAGACTCTTTAATATGTCATAAACCTGTAAGTTTGCACTGCACTGAATTTTGTAATTCTACGCTATGGCACCATCATTTTTTCTATGATGAATATATTAGTATTATTTATTATTTATATATAGCGCCAGCTTATTCCGCAGGGCTTTACAATAAGAGGGGAATTTACCAAATGAGACAATAACAAAATGTAACAGGAACAATAGTTAGTTAAGGACCCTGCTCATAAGAGCTTACAGTCCAGAGGATTAACCAAGAATGAAAAAAATATATAAAAAACTAAGTTGCCAGATCACCAGTTTCATTACTTACTTTTTTTTTCCATAAAATCTTTCTTTATAAACACCATTGCATTCATAATGAATAATGACACGGACAAGTAAATATGACAACAAGTTCAGCGAACGTAAACAATAGATAATGATGGAGTTGTTCAAACACTTTTGCAGTCTAAAGAGAGTGCAATATCTCTACACTACAGGTAATGTTAAACATCACCTACATATCTCAGATCTTTGAAAAAGTCTGTCTTGGGATTTAGAGTTCTGAAAAAAACAAATTTTTACAATAATTCAATGCTTTATTGAAAATACTGACGACCACAGAGAGGTATGAAATTTTAGGCTACCTCCCACATTTTTGCAACTATCACTGTTTTGAAACACAGTTTTTTACACCAAGATATGGGTTAAGATCTAAACGTATCAAGGACCAAAACCCAACAATGGACTGTGAAATTTCGTCCTTCTGGGACTTACAGGCATGGTGCTGTTCTTGAAGTGCATCTGAGTATATGTAGAGGTGAAGAATATAGCAAAGTATTCAAAAAGTTGCGGTGAAAGCAAACATAGTTAAACTCCATACTAATTTAGGCAAATTAAATTATTGCAGCCCTTTTTACGGGTGGCACAACATAACTTTCCACCACTTCAATTATAAATATAAATCCACAGGATTCTTCAGTCAAGCATCAAACATATGGGGGGGGGGTCATTCTCAGATAAGTTTAGTTTAGGTCGGCGAGACCTACGTGAAATTAATTAACTCATTGTGGGCCTGAAACTTAAACTAGATGCAGTATTATAAAGAAAGTGATGTCATTTTAAAGACAGTCTAAGGATACGCTTGTTATTTTTATTTTTAAATAGAATTACATCCATACAAGACAAAGTGTGTTAGTAATTATATGGGAGGCTTTATGTAACAGCTGGTTTTGCAAATCTGCAAACTTATATTTATTTAAAAATATATATCTATACACAACATGTAAAAACACATCCTGGGCTATTCACTAAATTAGGAATTTTCAGAAATTTACTTGAAAATTGCAAATTATAGTCCAAAATAGTTTAGCTTCCAAAATATGAGACTGGGAGATTCCCTAATGAATCATTACAGAAAATGATATTGTAGCTTTTCCTAAAGTGAATATTGCAGAGGAGGTATGTAAAAATGCACTTACCAACACTGCACTTGCTTATTGTGGGTGATTTTGCCTTTCTTTGATATTTCACACGCTTTCGGACATCAATACAGAAAAAAACATGTGTGCGCATGCATATGGCAATGCAAAGGTTATTTGGCTGCAAAAAAACTCACAAGTGGTACTTCCTATTTGGGTGGCAGGTAGAACATTATATATTTATATAACGCCAACAATCCACACATCATGTGATGGAGCACTTAAAGTGATACTAAACTATTATCAACTTTAGGTTTTGCTTCTACAATGGAAGCAAGTATCATTGTATCCATTGTTATGCAGTTGCATAGTTCAGAGAGAAACATGCCGATTGTCTAAGTCACTGACAATCACCCATTACAATCTGTAGAGAGAGAGACTCGTTTTCACTATGAATCAATAAAAAAGAGGGGTGTCTGGTTTGAAAGAGACAATGTCAATTGTTGAATTATGACTTTGAATTTTTTTTTTTTAAAGAAACCCCAGGTGACCCCCCCCATTTGCATCGTGGCACCAGTGGGTGGGTGGGCAAAGATATGCACTTACATTAAGGTCTCCCTCCTTGGTGCTGCCACCATCCACATTGAACTCTGTCTTCAGGTCCTCGTGGCTCCGTCTGTCAGAAGCTGCATCACTTGTGGTTTTTTAAATTATTCTCAGAAGTAAAAAAGGGGTTCTATGAAAGAGCCAGTGGAACTGCAGGTTCCTCCGTAGCTCTCCTCACACATGCATAGTGAGATGCCATGGGCCTCTATTGCACATCTTGCAAACAAAGATGCTAATTCCTATCAGCTGCCACTAATGATGGCTGAATGGAAATGTCAAGATGAGGTGGCCGAAGCTGCTTTCGACTCTACCACTTGGCATATTTTGCCAAAAATCTAATTATATCTCACATTGATGTGTGATATCTTTTGATTGTGTTGGAAATATCCAGAATACAGAAAATATATGATCCTAACAACGTTATGAAAAACTAGAAAATGACAGCATCTCTTCAATTTCAAATTATTATTATTATGATATTTATATAGCGCCATCAAAATTCCACAGCGCTTTACAATGGGTGGACGAACAGACATGTAGTTGTAACCAGACAAGTTGGACACACAGAAACAGAGGGGTTGAGGGCCCTGCTCAATGAGCTTACACGCTAGAGGGAGTGGGGTAAAATGACACAAAAAGGTAAGGATAGTATTAGAATAGTGACAGTTGCAGAAGAGGAATCAGTCAGGAGCTATTAACAGTTTAATTGATATGCTTTTATGAAGAATAACATAAACTAATATTAAAATAAACTAATATTAAAAAGTAAGGGTTCCCCATGTCATTTCATGCTAGGTCTACACCATTTATATGTTGAGTATTATCTTGTGGAATGACTATACTAACCTATCTGTTATAACATGCACAACAAAAATAAGGAATATTTAAAAAAAAAGTTAGGGTCCCTTTAAAGCGTATTACAAATTAAGACTTGATTTAAAAGACAGAGGTGATCTAAAATCACAAGGTAGCCTCCAAAATCAGTTTAGTCTAAATGTTCACTTTGCTTAAATTTTATTTTCTATTAGAAAAAAGCTTAGTTTGTGTAAGACTGATTTACTGCCATGGACCAGTAAAACGCTTTGCTACATCACAAGACGTAATATATTTAAAGAGGTCACAAATAACAGGAGATTTCTCTAGCCCTTGTATTTCCTATTAATGCTGTGCTTAAAGGCTAGATGGCAAACAATAGGCACGGGCAAATACACAAGTCTCATAACAGATATAAAAGGTGCCTAATTGAATATATATTTGTGTGTACTTATTTTAAGGCTCGAATTTGAAATACTTAGTAAAAAGAGGGAATTTTTATCACATTAATTTTGCATTATAATATATATGTTGCTCTTACAACAGATTAAATACACTTATTTAGGTTATTTAGCACGAGCACAATTTAATTTGCCTCCTGAGTTAAATATAGTGTAGGACCCACTGATATTGGGGTACTGGTACTGGTAGTGGTGGGCTTAACACAACATGGCCATATGGTGGAACTGAATCCTCATATTTGTTTGCTGAGATAGGTGAATTGAAGTAGCTTTAGAAAATGTAAAACTGTATTTTCGTACATGCGCTGTTCCTTAATCTGTATTGAGTACAAATCTGAAATACTGGCATTGGAAACACTGTTTGGGATTTTGATTACACACAAGAAATAGGTAGTTAGACCATGTTTAATAAGTAGAGATACTAGTAAGTATACTATTAGATCATCAATTATATGATATATGCTGATACATTGTTATCTTAAATGCTTGCACATTGTGAAATATGGTTTCAGATTACAGATATATTGAATATTGGAGGAATGAAATTGTTGTCTTGTACCCTAACATGCTATGGGAAAAAGATTTAAGAATGCAAAGAACTACAGAGCAACAAATAACTTACCGGTAATGACAGATCCCTTTCATCTCTGAATTCTGGAAGAGTTTCTAGGCAGAAAATGACTATGGAGATGAGGATGACCATAACTGAGATAATAGCAATGATTCGGGCAGCGGAGGAGCTGTCTGGGTGTTCAAAAAGCAGCCAAACTTGCTTCATGAACTCACAATCTGGAAGCAATCTTTCCTCCTCTTTGAGAAATCCCTCATCTTCTCTGAATTTTCTAATTGCATCATCTCCAAGCTCGTAGAACATCAGCTCCTCCATGAAAACATCTAAAGGGACATTAGATGGCCGACGGAGTCGACCCCCTGACTGGTAGAAGTAAAGTATTGAGTCAAAGCATGGCCGATTCCGGTCAAAGAAGTACTCATTCCTTAGAGGGTCAAAGAAGTGCATTCTTTTACTAGGGTCTCCCAAGAGAGTGTCAGGAAACCGACTTAGGGTCCTGACTTGAGTCTCAAACCTTAACCCAGACACATTGATGACCACTCGCTCACAGCAGTCCTTCTGACAGCAGAGTTCATACCTTTTTTCTTCAGGCACCAGAAGGTTAGAGCTCCCAGTCATTTCTTCCCCATTCTCCATGACTGAGAGCACATCAATCTTCTCAGGGTCATCCAAGTATTAATTAAGCATCCATAATCCAAATCTTTTCGACTTCTTTTTGCCTCTTGAGTGGGCTTATATCAATGTGCATTCAATGCATTCTCTGAAGCTTTCACATACCTTTCCCCAAAAATATTTTTTATTTTACATAGATTCTGGGGGGGTTTTCTGCCTTTTCTCTTCCGTCAGTTCTTTCCTTCAGTAAAGTAAATTTTTAACTGGAAAAATCGGTTTCTTCACCAAAATTGTTGGAGTTTTCTTTACGAGTTGTCTTACTTTTCCAAGAACTTACATATCCCCATCGAAAACACTTCGTTTCCAGCTCCACTTTGTCCAATGCAGTATTCTTCCTTCTCAAGTTCGGATATTCCTTTTCTTCTGTATTGTGATATCGCCTGTTTTATAGTTTATGGCTTATTACTAAGCTGTATTCGTTAGGACTTATTCCGTACGGTCTCCTCTCCAGGCTGTCATACTAAAGCCAGTTCTGCACTGTGTGCTGTAAACAGATTCACAGAGCTCAAGGTATCAGGTTCTCTGAAATGCATAAGCCTTCAGTGCCATGCAAAAATAAAAATACACTTGCACAACTCCACCCTCCCACTCTCCCTTGTTAAAGTACGGGAACCCACTGAAGGCTGTAGGTCAGCCCTGCCCCAGGTTCAACAACATGTAGCCTCTAAAAATAATACTCTGTTAAATCAACTGTTTAGGAAAGCGTACTGTGTTTTTGAAACAGTTTTGAATATCCCACTTGGGGAAAAAAGAAACTGAATTTAAATTTCCCCATGACAAATTGTGCAAGCCGTTGAAAAGTTTTGAAAGTATTTTTATCTCAAATTCAACCACAGTATCAGACAACATGTGGTTAGGCAACAGTTTATCTAGTCATGCACATCATCTCTTTGATATAGTAAAGATCAAATATCAGATTACTAGATGTTCTAAGATGTCAAAATATCTAAGAGGGTGCCCTAAAATTATATCTGTCACCAAACTTTAATCAGTAGCATAGAATATTGTCTGTATAGTGGATAAGCATTTTTCCCAATCCCCTCACCAACAACATAACAAAATAAAACACATGTTAAAGGAAATCTCCAGTGTTAAAAAAATATATTAATTCATAACACTGGGGTTTTAGGGAATCTCCTCGCCCCTGCTTTCTTTTGAGGACCTGTAAATAAAAAGGTTAAATGGACACTATAGTCACCCAGACCCAGGGCCGTCTTTAATATTGACCGGACACTGGGCAACCATTTGCTTGGGGCCCCTGGACTCTGCCCCCTGCCAGACATACTAACACACATACACAGAGACATACACTGACAGACATACTGACACACACGCTGACACACACACTGACAGACACATATTGACAGACATACTGACACACACACAGAAACATACACTACAGACATACTGACATATGCAGACACATATACTGACACATATACACAAAGACATACAATGACAGACATACTGACACACATACAGACACATACAATAACAGACATACTGACATACACAGACACATACAATAACAGACATACTGACATACACAGACAGACATACTGACACATACACCGACAGACATACTGACACAAGCACAGACACATACACTAACAGACATACTGACATAAACATACACTGACAGACATACTGACAAACATACACTGAAAGACATACTGACACAAACACAGACAGACATACTGACATAAACATACACTGACATACATACTGACACAAACACATACACTGACAGACATACTGACACAAACATACACTGACAGACATACTGACACAAACACAGACAGACTGACACAAACATACACAGACAGACATACTGACATAAAATTACACTTTTAAACCCACCCACAAGTTTCCTACCTTGGAAGGTGGTTCCCCAGGTGCCCAGACTGAAGGCTGTTGGGATCTGCCTCTCCTGGCAAGGGTCCCTCCTTCGTCACCCGCGCGGCTCCTCTCCTCAGTGGGAGGAAGTGACTCGCAGCCGTCACTTCCTCCCAGCGCTGCCGAAAAGCAGGCCCGATCGCGCTGTTAAAGTGGTACAGTATGTGACCGGGCCCCTGCTTACAATACCCACCCGGTGGCCTGCTTAATGTGGGGGCCGGCAGCCCCATGGGAGAAACAATTGTTGAGGGCAGTGGGGCCCACGGGGAAGCTGCCTTGGGCCCCCCAAGAGTAACTGGGCCCGGGGCAGCTGCCCCGTTTGCCCCGTGTTAAAGACGGCCCTGCCCAGACCACTTCAACTCAATGAAGTGGTCTGGGTGCCAGGGCCCCCAGGTTTTAACCCTTCAGATGTAATCACAGCAGTTTCAGAAAAACTGCTATGTTTACATTGCTGGGGTCCTCCAGCCTCTAGTGGCTGTCTTCCTGACATCCGCTAGAGGCGCTTCTGCGCATTCAGCGTGCAGAACGTCCTTAGGAAAGCATTGAGAAATGCTTTCCTATGGACTGTTTGAATGCGCGCGGCTCTTGCTGCACATGCACATTCCACTCCACTCGGGAGCTGACTGCGGGGGAGGAGAGGTCACCAGCGCGCGGGATTAAAGTAAGTAACTGAAGGGGTTTTAACCCCTTCAGCGCCATGGGAGGGGGGCCCTGAGGGTGGGGGGGACCTAAGGGTTATATAATGTCAGGAAAACAAACCCCTATAGTGATGCTTTAACTTTCCTCTTATCTAGCAGCAAAAGATCTCCGTTCCATACACTGCAGACCAACGCTACTGAGTCCGAAGCATTGGAGCGCAGAGCGAATACAAAGTAGTTGTGGTGTTGCCGTGAAATGCTTTTCATAAAGAAGCATTGAATTCAGTGCTTCCCTATGAGAATCACAGGCTTACACTTTGCGACGGGGCACATAGCAACCAGCTGAGGAGGCTGTCTTATAAAGGAGAAAATTTCTATTGAAATCTCCTGCAACTGTCAAAAATTACCTACTAAACCCTCAGTGAATACTTTTCTAACACCCTACTTCATACCCCTGATTTTACCCTCTGTGTCACTATACCCCACTCCCTCTAGAATGTAAGCTCATTGAGCAGGGCCCTCAACCTCTCTGTTCCTGTGCGTCCAGTTGTCTGGTTACAATTACATGTCTGTTAGTCCACCAATTGTACAGCGCTACGGAATCTGATGGTGCTATATAAATAATAAAATAATAATAATAAAATGACAAGTTGGGGTGAGGTGGAGGGGTCTAGTTAGCCCTTATAGCACTTCAGCAACCCGATGTGTTGTAGGGATTTGAAGTGTTTCTTTAAAAAACAATCCATAAAGTTAGCAGCCAGTCAAAAAAAGGAAGTCAGACACAGCCGGAGAAATGCTTTATTCTATGTACCAGAAAATGCTAAAAGAAATGTGAAAAATTAAAACAAAAAAAATAATTAAAAAAACGTTTAAAAACATTAGCACACCATTAACATCTATTATTTAATAGATATAATTCACGATTATGGAATAAATTATATGAAAAAATATAATAAAAAAATATAATTTATCTACAAAAAATGTATTCAAATATTTTTCTAAATATTAAATTATTTTAAAAGTTTACCCACAAATATTAAATTATTTGAAAAGCTTTTTCAAATATATTAAATCGAGGCCTAAATACGTTTACAAAAAAATTCTCTAGTCTTAGTTTAGCGAAAACATGGGGGATTAAAAGTTTTACATATTCTATGATATACCATATCTTGCAATATTAATGACATTTTAGCCCAGAAGTAGAATTACTATATTTGTCATATACATTAGGTGTGACAAAATAAATAAACAAAAATAATCTACTAATTTATATTTATAAAGAATTCTATGGCATTTCCTTAAAATGAATGTATAATGCACATTCAGAATGTATAAATATCTGAATGTGTGTATAGTGCAGAATTCTATAATGCAGCCATGGTATGTGTCTAAAAGGTTTAAAGGGACACTGTAGTGAATAAAAACTACTCTAGCTTATTTAAGCAATTTTGGTGTATAGATCTTTTCCCTGCAGTGTCACTGTTCAAGTCTCTGCCATTTAGGAGTTAAATCACTTTGTTTATGAACCCTAGTCACACCTCCCTGCATGTGACTTGCACAGCCTTCCTAAACACTTCCGGTAAAGAGTCAGCTAATATTTATACTTCCTTCATTGCAAATGTTTTGGTGACTATAGTGTCCCTTTAAGGAGAGAAACAGCAATTTACAGTTCTTCTGCAGAGATGCAGAAATGTAATTCTGGAGTAAAGGGGAAAACGAGAGGAGTTTTATGGGCTCTACTTTGCTTTTATTTTCTTCTTTTATCTTTGCACAATCCAAAACATAAGTTGGCACGTGTACACATTTTAACCCGTTATAACCAGATATAACCCATTGTTTGCTCTGAGGGGTGAATTCAATTAGAATTTGGTTTTAGACTTGTGAGCAGAATTTATAACCTTGTGTTTGGATTTTTTGTTTATTTATGGCTGTCTCCCGTTTACTTATATAATTGTGTATACGGGATCTCACGAAGACTCCAACTTTGCCAGCTATAAGCCTGGCAAAGCATCATGGGACCTGCGGTTCTATAACAGCTGGAGTCTACGTTTAGCCAGTACTGATATATTATGCATTGTCTGATCTGTACATGTACTGGTGAACAAAATGCCTCGTAACACTTTATAATCATTTAATACTGATTTCCCCTGTGGGCCTCAGTCTGTTGTTGCTGGTCAGCCTGCTTGCTTTAGTGAGCAATTTGCGAAGTGATTATATTGAGCAAAACGAGGTTTTAGGAAAGAATTACTTCATATATACACTGTAAAAGAACTTATCAAACTAAGCATCGCTTATTGTCGTCTTTTTTTCTGTGAGTGAAATCCACCAGATTTCACTATAAGTAATCCTGTCTGGCAGAACAAAAGATAAAGCTTTATACGCGCATCAATCGATATTTAACCCTCTTTTTTGCTGCAATTGCATCACCTACACTCTGTAATCATTACTGTCCTCTGGGCAATAATGTCACAAGTAGATAACACACAGTCGTCTACAAAAATAATTCAGTTTGAAACAAAAGTTCTAAAATGATCGACAGATTCTATCGCCAATAGTAGGTCAGACAAAAACAGACATCCTGGTACAGAAAATTAGGATGTAATTATTGAGAGCTGCGGGATTCTATTATTTAACTACATAGGTAGTTTATATAACTGATGAAATAGTCCCAGTTTTCTAATAAAGTTCTTTTAAAGAATTCAGTATATGGTCTCATTTTTGTTTGCAAATTATCCTTGGGGTTTTTAATGGTCTAAATTAAATAAGTCATAGAACGTTGTAACGGCGTTGCAAATGACCAAAGAAGCTAAACTTGCGACCTTCTCCACTACTGTGTCCAAATCAGTCAAAAAACACTGAACAAATAGTGGGTGCTAGGCAGTTTTAATATACAGGTGCTCCTCACGTCCCGGTCATAGAACGAATTGGCCAGTAAGTGAGGAGTTAAGGGATTCCCTGCTCTGGTGCACTTGTCTATGTTCGGGGGACATATATAAGTCACAAAAATTTCCCCAAACATAGACGAACGCACCAGAGCAGTGAATCCCTCTAATCTATGTCCGGGCAAATTTCCCTGAACATAGATTTAAGGGATTCCCTGCTCTGTGCGCTTGTC